GTAAGCTCGAAGAAAATATTAATTTAAATGGAAAAAATATTAAATAAAAAAATGACATTGGCATGAATGAAAAAACTAATCAGTCGAAATCTGTATAATATCTTAATATATTCCTCAAATATCAAAGCCTATCGGAGTGTGCACATTTGTAAGTCAAATATCTTCGGCTTTGTGGCAAAATGAGCTTAGCCTCAAAAGCGCACAAGTAATTTCGATATCTACTCACACCCACATGTTGTTGTATGTGCTTTTGATTGGTGATGACTTGCACGTGTCAGAAACTTGCAAATTTTACTGCTCAGCCTAATGGCATGTCTGCTGAAGGAGCTACCGACACCTTTATCAGTAGAAAAAAACTCACATGCAAACTCCTTACCACAACAATGACCCCAACGTCAAAATGTTTGCGCCTTTCAGCGATTCAACATTTTCAGCACACGAAATTGTATAGCTAGCTGCCTAACGCTTGTTTGTTTGCCTCCGCCCGCTCACACTGCTCTCCGCTATACTTCGTGCGCAGCGTCTTTTGCTTTCCACAGACGCGCCAATTGATTCGGGACACTTGCTGGTCCGATTACATTATATCTATGTGTGTATGTGCGTGTGCGTTTGTCTGTGTTGTGGTAAACAATTTTGTCTTCGTGTTTTGTATTCTTCATTTTTGTGCGCATTTCTGTCGCCTTGCGCCGCTTTCGTAACAGTGTGCTTAGCAGGAAGTAAAAGTCCTTGAAGTCTTCGGTAGACGCCTCAAATTTCTTCCACTTTAGACACTGCTGTAGAGTCTGAAATTTTATTCAGTTGAGTGCCACGAAACCATTTCCCCTCTCTCGAACTGCCACTCGCTCTCTTTCATGCTCTTCGGCGGTTAAATGCTAGAGAAGAAATTCACATTTTCTTATGCCCACCATTCACTTGAACGATTGTGATTATGCAACGCCTGCTTCTGAGAATTTCATGTCAGTACCGTTATGTGCTAACGTCCTTCGCTATAAAACTTTGTCCTTTTCTTTTTATTAATTTTTTTTCAGTCTGCGTGCTTTTTTGTTGGCTTGGCTCGTTTTGTCTGTCGTTGGTTCGTATAATCGCTGAAATAAATTCTGTCTCACGAATGTACACGGCCGCATTCTGATATAATCCACTTCGCAGCTACTCACACGACTCAGCCAAGAAGTAGATCAAGAATTGGCAGCATATTTCTGAATGCTCCGCAAACAGCGTCCGCAGTGTTTGATTAGCAAACATTTTTTTTCGATGAATACAAAAAGCGTTTCTGAGGCGGTTTTTTTTGCGGAAACTTATCAAGATTAGTTTAATAATATTTACTCGCTTCTTATGCCGAAAGTTTTATAAAGAAATTAGAAAAGCATTCTTCTCTCTTCAAATATAAGTAAATAACATTTTGCCCAACCCAAAATGCTCCACTTGCTTTGCTATACGCTGCTCGCATCGGTTTCAACGCCTCTACCTACCACTTTTCGCTTTGCTCTTTACTCTTTTTGTTGTGTGACACGTAGGCGTCAGCAGCAGACTCGAAACTTTTGCCCCACAAAATGTTCCCTCATACTTATTTAGTGCAATGCTTCTGCATCTACTCGCCCAAGACTCAAGTTTCCTTGCTGCTTTGTATATTTGATTTGATTTTATTTGTTTGCTTTGCTTAAGTACTTTCAAATTTTTCTTCAAGGACGTCGCCCGTCTGGCAGTCTGCGCTTCTCATTTCCGTGTGGCTTAAGTTGCTCGTTATTTCTTGGCGTTTGTTTTGCCTTTTTGCTTATTGCTAAACGAGTGTGTGGCACTTTGAAATTTGAGCTGCTCGAAGTGGATGGAAAGCGATGCCAAAATGCATAGATGTTGTCTGCTATTAAAGTAACCCTTTCGCAAACTTTTTGGAAAGTAAAAAAATGCAAAAAAATACTATATGCATATGTGCTTTCTGTTTGTTAGATTTGTGGGCATGTCATCTCTACGCTTATGCTTAGTAACATTATAGTAAAATGAGGAGTATTTGCAGAAACGAAAACTTTGCAGCTTTAATCCGATCAGCGCTAGTAAGCCTACAGGTAACAAAGTTTTTTCAAAACCACTTTTGACAGATATTAAAAGCATTTAGTTCAGAATGAATGTATTACACGCTTTTCTCAGCGTATAGGTTCAAATGTGTGGCCAATATGCTGAGCCTGTCTGAGTGCTGTACCTCCTGTTATCAATTATACTTGTATACATTAAAAATGTATTTATTATAGAAATCGATCATCTCAAAGTTACTCATACGCATCGTGGTACCGCCATACATTCGATACAAAATTATGAAATTTTCACTACACTATAAATATTGTTTCCGAAATATCTCAAATTCTTATATATTTATTTCAAATTTAAAAAAATAAATCCTTAAATCTTTTTTAGTAACAATATAGACACCAATACAACTCAGACCATTTTCCGATGCTCTAGTAAAAAGATCAATATTACTAAACTATTTAGGAATAAATAATTAATGCACTTGTCTAGTCGAATAAAATAATAAATATATTTTATCGTTTTATGCAAAGTTGATTTTAACTGGAGAGGGATTTACAGCTGTTCCTGGTATGGGAATTTGGATAAATACGTAGGCTCAGACTATAGCCCAAATGATTTAAAGCTTGTTGCAGCTGTTAGTTGGAATAAATATTGAATGCGTTTATTATTCTAATTGTTATAAGGTGTCGAAAGGAGCTTTCAGTGCTAGATATCGGATATATGTATATTCATATGTACATGTGTAGAAATATTTGTGTAATAAAGTTAACGAAACAAATTTTCTGTAAAATTGTGTTGCTGCCTTGTTTTAATAATCTTGACTGTAAAGATTGCATATTCAAAGTGCTTTGTTGCTTTTCTCCTACACAAGATACATACATACATATATACGTATGTGAGTGGCATTTATTTGTCTGAGACTTTTCAGCCTCAATACAAAAACAATTGCTAGACATCTAACATACTTTGAAAATTAGATTTCTCTTAAGACGCGCCAAATATTCATTATAACCGTACCATAGCAACAAGCCCTCAGTCCCACTTATACGCAAGCACATACACACACGGTAAAAAAATGCACACATCCGCTAAATTTCGACACATATTTGAGTATAACTTGGAAGCAATTAATGTCGACAACAGCATGGCAACCCAATTACAGGACGTAAATATCCATAAATATGTACCTGCTTGACAGACACACACACACGCACACGTTGGATTACGGTATATCCACTTATGCACACACATACACACAAATATTTACTTAAAAGCAACATATGTAAGTATGCGTTTGAGCGAATTAAAATGGCGCCTACAGCACAGTTATCTATGTCAAACGCAAGGGCAGACGCATAAATTCATTAATAAAAGCCTTTTAATAGCGCTGTTTTGGGCGAAGTCGGAGTGTGGCACGCGTTTGCAATTTCTAGTCAGACAAGACAGCAAACACATACACACACACACGTACACAATGCGTATGCATGTTTGCATAAGAACAAGAGCAACAGCAAACATAGCAGAGTAAACAATTAAAGGACATTTACGCACACACACACACACTCAAACATACAAGTATATATGCACAACAATATTTGGCATACGGGAGTTATTGTTGTAATAAAATATGTTACTCTTGTTAATGTGTAAACACATTTAGAATTGCAGACGAAAAATTTTCCATGTAACCAAATCGTCTGTAGGCTAGCTTGGCATTGCGGAGCCTAAAAACACATTTCCGAGTGGCGAATGTACAAGTAAGCTACGCCTGACTTTGTATCCCTTTTCGGGTTCATTCAAATTCCAATTCACTTAATGGCGCATCATTGACGCATTAAGTGTTGCCACTTGTTTCTTTCCTTTGCACGCGCGTTCTTATTGCTGTTTCAGCGTCTGCGAATGCAGTCGTTATCGCCGAGCAAAGGAGGAAATTGAAACATTAAAATTTTATTGTTTGCCAAATTTGTCGAAGAAATGCACTTAGCTATAATTCCAATTATTTTTGTGCGAGCGGGTAGTGACTTACAAATGAGATTGCGCAACTTACGCGCTCAGACTTCTACACACACATACTCGCTTAGGGTAGTTAATAAAATATTTACGTTAATTTTATGATCAAGTTGTAATAAAATAATGCTTTCGAAGTTGCCATAAAACTTTTTGGACAATTAGTGATTTAGTTTTTTCTACTACTATAATCACGAGTTTATCCTTCAGCGAATTTATTTCGTTCGGCACAATCGGTTTTCGAATATAATTATCTTCCTGAGCGGACTAACGATAAAAGCTTTCCAAGGTACTGCGATGCCCCTAAATGCTTAATGATACACAAACATGAACACCCTCTGTAAAGGTGCACTATTTCGATGACTATTTCCATAGTAAAATTGTAAATAGCTTCATAAATCATAAAATAATAACTCTATCTGCACCAGTTGTGAAATCTGTCCAACACCTCTCAAGAAAGGCGAAGCTATAAGCCGCATATAAAGAGTACATGTCAAAATGTTGCCTACATTTTGGCGCGAGCAGAAACTCCATTTAATTTATTGAAATTACACTATATAGAAGAATAATTTTCAAAATATTCTCAGCAAGCAATTCAAGACGCAGGAAATCGTATTTGAAATTATTTCCAAAGAGGTATTATAAACACTAGACCTACGAACTGGTCGAAATGACCGGTTGCATCATTTATTTATACCATTTCCTCTTTATCCCTATTTAATATTTTACGATAATGTCATGATTTTTATTAAATTTGTGTAAAGAATAATAATAAAGATTATTTTGTTCTAACGCTTCTAATTTTTAGAGAGAGAGAGACTTATTTGAAATTGTTATACTTGTACGGTAAATCTTCGTAATTCTAGTGTTAAATATATATTTCAATATAATTTTTAATGAGCGATAAAACAAAAAAATTTATTTGTAATAAATAAATTTAAATTAGATATATGTATGTATGTTACACTTACGGGTACAGGATTGTCCGGCTCAGTGTGCAGAAGTGTCTGATCTTCGGGCAACAGTGGAATTGGTAATGTTAGAGCGACAGTGGCACGACGTTTCAGCGCCGTGACACGATAACAATTTATGGCAACAATCAAAACGCTGATGCATGCGACGCTCAGTGAAATGCCAATCGCAATCAATAGTATACGACCTGAAAAGAACCGAAAGAGATAGAGAGAAACGTATTAGCAATAATCTATTATTATCAGTTATAATATATGTATGTATATTTAAATTACATAATTATGAAAAATTGATTTTAATGTATCATTAAAGCGGTAAGCCACCCATATTGCGTGCAACACTGTTGCTGAGCATGTCATTCTCGGCAACACTTGAGCTAAACAGAGTGTTAAAATCAATGTGCTTGGCGCAAACGCCCACAATGATTGGTGGAAATTAATAAATTGATGAAGTATAATGATTGTGTATGTATGATTTCCCAGCGCTCACCGAATTTATTGCAAGCACATTACTGCGCATTTAATGGTAGATATTGTTTTCCCGTTTTCCTTCTTTCGCCTTTGTAAGCGACAAAGGTGTTGCGTGTTTGTTGCCAGGCGCATGCTATGCAATGCAAATAAAACAAAATATTATATATAACAATAACAACAACAATCGTCTATTTGTTGGCAACTTTGTAGGCGAGTGAATGCGAAGACCTTGAGACGCCTTGCTAAAGCGTGGCGTGCGACGTCAGACAGAAGGGCTAGACAGGCCGGCATGCCAGCAACGCCACAACGCCAGCGTGCTAACCGTGTGCTAGTTGGTCAACAAAACCAACAACTTCAAAATAATAATAAAACAATTGAACTGCTCGCTAAGCGCTACTACAAGGCAACATAAAGGCATACAATGAAAATGAAATGGCAACAAAAAACACTCAGCCAACAGTGATAAAAATAAAAGCGCAGCTGCCTCACGCTACCTGCCATCAGCCACTGTTTTTGCTCTCTTTTGCTGAGCGCCTACATTCATTAGATATATTTAATTACAATTTTCATTATAATTGCGCGCAGCAATATTTTTTCGCCGCAACTCAACCATGCAAATGCACACACATACACAATAACACACGTTCGTGTGCTTTTCACAGTCGCCTAAGCATAAATAATAACGAAAGCAAAACAAGAAGAAGAAAAAGCATAGTCAATATTTATTTAAGCATTTTGCTGCCATCGCTGCTGCAAAGCAAATTGCATGTAATCAGTTATGACTCCGAACAATACAGCTGCAGTGGCACAGCTGCTGCGGCTGCCGCCGCGCCATCCTTTTGCCAACGCGGAGTGACGCTGCTGTACTGTTCCGCTCGGCGGTTGCCACACAAAGCTGCTGGCGTGTTGACAGCAACATTTGACACCCGCAATTGACACCTCATGCATCAGCGGCAGTAGCAGCAGTGGCAGCAGCCGTGGTAGTGGCAGCATTGTGGCCAACAATGGTATATACATATACACTTTTTATACATACTCGTCTGTACTCGTTCATGAGTGTGGAAGTATGTATTTTCATGTGCATGCTGTTGTCTTTTGTGTGGTTTGGCTCGGCAGTTGTTTGACATTTTGAAATTAATGGAGTGAATTTGATTTACAACTCAGATTGTGCGGAGGAAATTATGATTACCGTTCGCTATATTTAGATATTCGCTTATTTATGTATATATGCCGATTTCACAGTGTTTTTGTAGACACATAGACGGACCGGTTTTGTTTTTTTTTGTTAATGCTCTCATGCGTTTTTTATCTAGCGTGAAATTTAGTTTCGAGTAAAATGATTCAACTTTTTAGTTAAATGTATCTGATATATGAAAAAAGTCAAAGGGCCCGGTGGTTAAGGGTTAATGATTCACTTTACACTTGATTATTTTCGATTGGTGATATATCAAATATATTAGATATTTTTATAAAATCAAAAAATGCTTTTCTTCAACTGTGTATCTGCACCGAAGTTTCACATAGCGGAAATGTTGATATACAAAAAAAAAACTTTACAACTTTTTTTTTATAAGTTGTTCGAATTCATAAAATTTTATTAAAGAAAAAACATAGATATGAAACATCTTCCTAAAACTTTCTGAGACGTATACATAAAAGGTTTTAAGTAACTATCAACAAATCTTGAGAACTAACTACTAAAGTGTCTACTAAATCTAATTATAGTTCGAATTTTAAGAAAGACAAAGTCTCCAGTAGCAAAAATTAAGAAAAAAATTTTGTTACTCCAGAAAGTATGCAAACTATTTCAATGCAAATAGAAATGTTGCCTATATTAAGGCGCCATTTTCAATAGTTAATTTGGCCACTGAAAGCTACCCATTTGCAGTGAAAAAAGAAGAAGAAGAAGGCTTTAGAAGCAGGGGGAATGTGAACTATTAACAGATTATTTATTTTAGTTTCTTTTCATCGCACCCCAAATCAAACAAATTTGAGCAAATTATTGTTTCATCTACAGATAAGGTAACAGAGCTGGGTTATATAGTACTTGGGCGCAATGTAACATATATATGATTAATAAACAAGAAAGCTATTCGTTTTGGTTATATACATTTTTTACCACTTTTCTTTTCTAAAATATTAACAGAAATTTTGGTAATTATTTTTAAGATTTATATTTGGGTAAGTACTGTTACTGAATTGAAGAAAACTAATCTTAAAAAGGAAATTTTCTAGTTATATAGCAAATAGTTGGAACAAACAATTTTAAAATGTATTTTTAGTTACAAAAATTAGTTTTTCGTGTAGCATAGCAACACTTTTCAAAATTTTCGGTGGCAAATATATATCTACATATGTAAATAAAGAACGAGTTGCTCAAATAGTTGTAATAATAAATATAAATTAATTTAGTTAACTTGAACAAACACAATAAATGACACGAGCTAAAGACTCATAAAAAACTAAGCCTTTATATTTAAGACAAATTTATGTAATATTATACATATATGGGCGTATAATATTAAGTGCATGTAATTGTTATAAACCCCATATGCATACATATATATATTAACCAAATATGACTATAAAACTGAAGTTATCACTTGATGTAATGGCGCCTTGATAAAAAATATGTACGATATGCCAAGAGACACGAGCACTTCATAACCCCGAACTACTTGTATTACGAAAGTTCGTCAAGTTGGCAGACACTTGCTTATAGAGCTAGAACTTTGTACTTCGAGGCATTACAAAACTTGCCGCTAAATTAAAATTATTTGAGCACGTCTAACGGTAATCCCAATCACAAGTATTCGAAGTGCATCAATTACAGTCGACTGAAGTGCCTGCTTAAATCTTTCCGTTTTTTCACATCAAATAGCGGTAATTATTAATACCATTTATTGACACTAATTCCACAGCCAGACACTACGCAACGTCATTCACAGTTATAAAACGTGTCGATGTGATTTCACTAGGGATTGCCAATTAGGAACGCACCAATATCGGTATTTATATCGATACATATATATTTGGGCATGCTTAAGCATGAGCTGTCACACATTTCACTTATCTAAATTTATTATGTCATTTGTGATAATTACCGAATGACGCAGACAGTTGTTATTGTTGTATTTGTTAATCGTTTTCTATTTCCGGCTCACTTAATTTAGTTCGAAAACTAAAAAGAAATTGCTTTTGTCAATTGTTTGAATTTTCGTAGAGTCCGAGGAATACTTGGTTCTCAGGTAATCACACTTAACGCTTTGGTTAACCGACTGTTGGCGGTCTACTGGCGCTTTTGTACTTTTATATATTTTTGCCACTTCTTTTGTCGCAACTCATGGAATTCTCCAAGTCAATACTCACTCGCGTTTATTGCCAGCGAATTACTCAATAGCTAAACAAGCTCAGTGGTAGAAAGGAGTGTGTTTGTCTATGCGGCGCGGCAAGCGGTGGAAGGCAAACGAAGACCGGCGAACTGTGAACGGCCAACGGTGAACGACGAACGGTGAATGGCGTACGGGCGGCTTTAAGGCTAGACAGCCAGACAACCAGACAGATAGGTAAATACGGACGTGACTGCAAATGCAACAGAGATAGCGAGCGCGACACACAAGCAAACAATTGATTGGACGCAGACGAGTAACCGGTTGCCAAATGGCATTAAATCGACGTTGAACCAGTTAGGTAGGCAGGCGGGCAAGCGAAGGCGATGGCGGCGGTTGGCTGGGGTGGACGCGGTGCTGCTTGATAGGCTTTGTCATTTACCAGCACGTATACGCCATGTGCCACTGGCTGTCAGCAAGCTGAGACTCTAACAAAAATGCCTGTTCAGCAAACACAAATAGCAAATGCAAAACGATAACTGCATAAGCTATTTGTTGTTGTGTCTGATGAGCGGATTAAATGAATTTCTGTAACGCTAACCTAAAAAGTGCTTGTAAATCAGTATACTGGCGCAAAGTATGTAGTCCAAAGTGCGATGCGCCACCGATAAGGCCATAGAATGTGCTTGCGTGTGTGTGTATGAATGCGAGCATGAAAAACCAAGAGAAAGAGAGATTGTGGAAAACTCGCGACCGAGCGAGCGCTTGTGCGGAAAAGAGCGCATGATAAAGTGAACCAGCGCACGATACGCTATTTACGATGCATCTATGCTTTCAACGCACTCAATTAGTCAGCTATATGCGCAACCACTGGCGCCTCTCCGCCTCAACGTCCCTGTGGAGCGCGTTGCATTGTGTGTGCGCGCGCGGAGTAATGATCGCAGTACACTTGAGTCACCATAAAATCACCTGTTTACCTATCTGTCGGCTTGTCGACTATCTGCCAGCCAGTCAGCTTGCAGTGCGGTTATTTAGTCTACGAGATTCCCGCGCCGCCGCACTGCGCTCACCTGTCTGCAGCGCCGACGACGGCGATCGTTCAAGTTTTGTGCGACAGGCGCGCAGACAGGCTAGCGCGGGAGCGCGCGGTGCAAATGGGTGGCGGTAGTTTCAGCGGCGTTGCTCACGTTCGACCACCTGTATACCGTTCGTTCATGGCGCACAACAAACATGAATGAGTCGCTATTGCGCATGTGTGTCTATAATATATACTAGTGTGTATATTGCTGTATTTAATTCTGACTATTGGACCAGAGAAAAAGTGAGTGTGAAAGTGTAAATTTAATTTTAATATTTATATAGTCATTGCTGCTGAAATAAATAAACTG